AGGTCTCCGGGCAGGGCTGGACCTGGTCCTTTTTGGATGAGGCTGAACTCGTGGACCCAGCATTACTGACTGCAGATAATGCTTTTCCCAAGAACCCACTATCGCCTGGTTTCTCCATGCATAAGCGTCGTTGAGCTCTTCGAAGCCACCCCATGTGCCTGGGCCATGTTTTAGTAGGATATTTCTGAAAAGCATCTAGTGTCCCCCCTGCATCTGTGGGGTGATGCCCGGAGGATGGGGTACACATCACACTCTGCCCTCACCAAAGCCTTTGCCCTTTCGGGGGACAGCCACCCTCTCCAGGTGACTGTCACAGGCTGGGGATGGCTCCTGACCCATCTGATAGGTTTCTTTTGCCGTGATAACGTCACACTGTGCATAGGGCTTGCTGGCTCATTCCTCGTGCTGAATTACCCCGGAAAGTTTAGTCTGTAGGGAAGGAAGGATTTAGCAGAGCCATCCGCCGGGCCTGGAGGATGTCTGCCAGAGGACCCGGCTGTCTGCTGGCTTTAATGGGTCAGCTTAGGGCTAGGAAAGCTTTCAAGAGGAGAACTGATGATATACATCCAAATAACACCGGGGAGGCTCCCAGCACGCGCTCAGCTGGGCTGAAGTCTCCCTGCGGTCCCCAGGCCAAGCTGCCCGAACGGCCCAAGCTGCTGACGTACCCGCGGCTCCCCTGTTTTTTGGACAGGTAATGCCACCCCCCGTCCCCTCCCGTCGTCCGTCAGTCTGTCTCGCAGCCTGCCAGGCAGAAGAGCCTGTCCTGAGCTCCCACTCTCAACGGAGCGGTGCCCTCGCCGTCATCTGCCATCATCGGTCCCTCCCCGTGCCCAGGGGAGGATGAAGCCCAAGGGCTGGCAGATTGGCACCCTCCTCTCGTACCAGGGAGCGCCCGGACCCAGCCTTGCCGCACTGCCCTGGCAGCAGCCCCGTCACCGGAGACGTGTCGCAGGATTCACCACCTTATCCTGCAACCGAGTCGCACGTCCCCTCGGAGGGTGCTGGGGGAACGGGGCCGGGAGGGAGCTGCAGCCTCTCCCTCGGGGACCCCAGCACCCAAGCTTGCAGCCCCTGGCCCTCCCGCAGACCC